GATGTTCTTTTCAATAAACTACATCCTCTGGGGTTTTATGTTATATATGGGTACTATTGTAATACATATTTAAAAAATTTTTAAATCCTGCTTACTAGGATTTGCCATGGATCCCAGAATTCTCAGATCACCTGGAAAACTGTCTCTGTAGTATCACCTGATGGCATGTTTGAGGACGTGAAGGACTATTCCAGCCTTTCAGGGATTTCTGAGGAGGCCAAACCCCTTTTCTTACTCGGGGCTATATTCTTCTTCCCTGGGTAATATTGACAAGTAGGTAAATGAACATGGGCTTGAAGTCAGAGAGTCCTAGTTTCCAGCCCCAGCTGTGTGACTTTGGGCCAGCTGCTTACCCTCTCTGAGCCTGTTTCTGAGAAATGAGAACTATGGTTGTGGTCAACATTAAATGAGATTGTCTTTATAGAGAACATTCAGGTTATCTAGCTCATAGCCAGCATTCCATAGCGTTTCAGGAAGGTGATATGCTTGCAGACAGTCAATGCCAAAAATGAAGGACTCCGATTAGGCATGTGTTTCTAAGCCAGTAAAGGGTCTCTTAGATTTTTGTATGGTAAGGAGCAAAAGGAAAAGATGTTAGTAGTCTGGTAGGCAGACTGATTAAAACTTTGATGCTTCATTTCCAAAATCCTTCATATACCTTAAGGGAATTCTTTTTGAAATTTACTTTATTTTTATTAAAGATTTTATTTTTAAGTAATCTCTACACCCAGTGCAGGGCTCTAACTCACAACCCTGAGATCTAGAGTCACATGCTCCACCAACTGAGCCAGCCAGGGACCCCTATTTTACTTCAATTCCCATGTCATTAACAAACAGTGTTATATAAGTTTCAGGTGTACAATATAGTGATTCAACAAATCTATATATTACTTGGTGCTCATCAAGGTAAGTATACTCTTAATCCCTATCCAATTTGTTTTTTAAAGATCAAAGTTTCCACATTTGTAGTTCCTACACTTCACATATACACTTAACATTGAATTTCTTTTGAAAAACAGTACATGCACGTGTTAAAGAAATTATCAGTACCAAAGTGTACTTTGGATGAATGAAAACTAAGCTGTTCTACCCTGGCCAAGTTCACCTCCCCATTAGCAATCATTAACAGTTTCTTGTGACTCCTTCCAGACATAACCTGTGCCTGCACAGCAAAACCATCCCGGAATGTGCAGAGACAACTACGGCAACTCAGTACACCTTAAAGAAATAATTGCCCCATGGCATCACTCCCCCCTTTTTACTCTTTCCATGATTCTGCCCTTTGCAGATCACTCTGTAGCTACGCATAGATCCACCTCATTTTCTCTACAGTTGCTCGACAGTCCGCTGTGAGAGCAGTTCCATACAGCTCCATACCTGGGTCATTTCCTGTCTTTCTAGTACAAGCCGTGCTGTCATGAATATTACACTAGATCTTTGTTCATTGGTGAGAGTTTAATGGTTAAAGACGCATACAGGCACATATTTTTAAGCAACCTGCATAAATGATTAGCTGCGTTTGGGAAACACTGATCAAGTTGATAGTCTTAGGATCATTCCTTACCTAATATTCCCCGCCACCCCCCACCCCCCAACTAAAGTGTGTTTTCTGGGGTCTTGGCCATGGTTTCTTCCTACTCTGATTCTCGTAGCTTTGGGAAGAATTGGCAGAAGGAGAAGGGGGTAAAGTAGTATATAGGAGGGGTATGCAGCCTTTGCTTGCCAGTGGAGAGGAAGACCAGCAGGAGGCTAGGGACTCTCTCCTCTGTGACTCAGGAAGCAGATCAGGGTCTCTCAGCCTTGGCACTGTTAAGCTTTTGGCCGGAAAACCTTTGTCATGGCTGGGGTGTGGTGTGGGGAGGGTGGAGGGTGTCTCTCCTGTGAGTCTGTGCATCCAGGGTCTCTGCCCACTCTGTAGTCCCTCTACTCAGTTGTGACTGACGCTATAAGTCTCCTGGGGGAAAATCTCCCCTGACTCCCCTGCCTTAGAACCAGTGCTTGCTGTCTCCCGTGGAAGAATGGAAGAATGGCCACGTGAGGGTTCTTGTCCTCATTCTCCCTCTGGTAATCCCAATTCCCCTTCCTTCCTTTCTTTCTTCCTATTTCCCATTACGCAACACAGTGCATATGAACACAGTCTCATTGCACAGCTTTCAAATAATACATTATCCTCTTCACTCCCAACCTAGGGGATTTTCTAGGGGGAATAACTATTGTTTTAAATTTAGAATTCTTCCCATGCACTTACATACTGATTTTAACATACAGAAATCAGGAGTTTTGTTTTTTGCTTTTTTTATCCTAAATGGGATTTCACTGTGCATTTTGTTGAACTTTATTTTTTTTCAATTAACAATCCAAATAACAAATGGGGACCCATCAATATCTGCATAATTCTACCTCATTCTTTTTTAAGCTGCTGCATGGTATCCTATATTACATGCACACGACTGGTTAGTCAGTTTGCCAACTGATGAGCAATTACATTTTCAGGTTCTAAGTATTCTTTTTTTTTTTTTTTTTAAGATTTTATTTATGCATTTGAGAGAGAGAGAGAGCACAAGCAGGGGGGGAAGGCAGAGGGAGAAGCAGACTCCCGGCTGAGAGCTGGATATGGGGCTGCACCCCAGGACGTGGAGATCAGGACCTAAGCAGAAGGCAGACGCTTAACCATCTGAGCCACCCAGACGCCCCAGTTTTTTAGTATTCTAACAAAGCTGACAATGCTGCAGTTGCACAGGCTGGTATATGCTTCGTTTAAAAAAAAAAAAAAAAGGTGAAAAAGTGTGTCTATAAACCAAGAAGTACTATTATTGTTTTGAATGATCCACACAATTTTTTTAAAAAAATATTATTTATTTATTTATTTATTTATTTATTTGACAGACAGAGAACACAAGTAGGCAGAGGGGCAGGCAGAGAGAGAGAGAGGAGCAGGCTCCCCACCGAGCAGAGAGCCCTGGGATCATGACCTGAGCCGAAGGCAGAGGCTTTAGCCCACTGAGCCACCCAGGCGCCCCTATACACACAATTTTTAATAGTGACTGCCAAACAACCTCACCAAAGAGCTGTTATCACTTAAAATTCTCTCCAAATGTGATTAAGAATAGCCTTGACTCTTATCACGGGCCATCTGGGTTAAATTACCAATCTGTAAATTTAAAGTTTTGAAAATCTGCTCTCCTTAGCATTTCAATTTGGAGAGTTTTCTTATAAAAGGAAATCTGCGAGTCCACCCTTTAAGAAGCCTTCCAGGGGCCGTTCTCTGCCGTCAGAATAAGCTTCCAACTCCTTAGCAAAGCTGACCCGATCCTTGCGGGGTTTGGGGTGGTGGTGGTGGGGGGTGTTTTTACTCCCAGAAAACTTTAGCGGACTCTCTCCTCTGGGCTGAGTTCCATCTGGTGCCTTCACAGTCCCTGACGCCTGTTCGCCTCTTTGCGGGGCTCCTGGCCCAGCAAAGTGCCCCAGTCTGTTGAATTGGTGACGGGGAGCAGAGATGGCATCCAGATCATCTCTGATTCCAGCCCTTAATAGGAGTTTCATAAATGCTGAATGAGCTGGGGCAGTGGGACCTGGGGGGCCAGAAGGACGCTCTCACTAGGTTCCTGGGGGCGGCCGCGAGTCTCATCTGGGGCCAGACCCCGCGCAGGGAATGAGAGGGGACGCGCCCGGATCCCAGAAGGCTGCTGCCGGTGCTCCTTCTCCCCCGACAGACGCTCCAGGTGCTCCCTCCCCAATTCTCTGCAAAACTTAACGGGAGATCACATGCCTGGAATGAGAACCGACCATTTCCTTCCAAAATGCTCGTGGTGACCAACAGAGGGCCCAGTAAAACACCGAGAGACGTGGACAGGACCGGGCTGGAGCGCCACTCAACCCCTGAAGTGCTCCGGGAAACCTCTGGGGCATGCGTGTAGGAGTTTGACAAATTAACCTTTTAAAGACGTAACGGCGCGAAAGCAGCCCCCACACCCCGAGCCACACGAACACTGAATGGCAATGGTGGAGACGCACAGGATGTTGCATTAAGGACCAACCGGAGCGGAGACCTTACAGGCTATGGTTCCTTGGCAGCAACAGAAGGGAAAGAACTCAGCGGGCTCCCACCAGCCGGCCATTGGCCGCGAACAGCAGGGTCGAGTTCCGTGTTCTCAAACTCAACCGCACCTTCCCCGTGCGGCCTTTTTACACGATCGCAGGTACACGACGGGCGCTACTCTCCCCTCTCGCTTGCTCTTAAACTGTCGTCCAACAATAGTGCTGACTAATGGTGAGAGCCAGCAAGTGCTCTTAGGTGGCCGCATGGAAATAAAAAAGTTGCTACAGAAAGAAAAAAAAAACCAAAACGGGAACTTTCGCCCTTGGTTTCCCGGGTACCGACCTGCAGAAAAGGTGCGAGAAAGGCCTCAGGGCCTAGACCCAACAAGTGAGGGAAAGAAAGGAAAGAGGACGGAAGCCTGGGCCAGAAGAGACTCTGAACATCCCCAGAGGGCACGGCGGCCCTGGGGCTCTGTCTCCTTGGCGCAGTCCAACCCCCGCGTCAATCAGATCCTTCTCGCTTTGCCATTGGCCGGGGGCTCCCTTGGCCTCCCTGGCGCCCACCTCCTAGTTGCTTGGGGTTTACTTCCCCAAAGTACACGGGCCCCACCTTGTGGAGCAACCGCTCCTGTATGGAAAACGGATCTCCGCCCAAGGGAACACATTTTAACGAATGGGAACCGCCTCGCACACTTATTGGCTACCATGAATATCGGTCAAAGAACTTCCTACCCTCTTTTCCGACGTCCCTTTAAGTAATTGGTCGCTCTCAGTGCCAATCCGTTACTAGGGAAACGAGATCCTCACAGTCTCATAGGCATGAGTCAAAGCCAATCAAGAGCCACGCCTTCATCCTGAGTCCTTACCCAATTGCTGCTCGAAGAGCCCAGAGGACGCAGTCGGGATTGGTCGCCAGCTTGTTCGACCTGGCCGCAACAAGTTAGGCTGAGTCGCGGTTATATAGACCGGCGACGGAGCACGCGTGTGTGCGGACGCAGTTGCGTGAGGTGATCTTTCCTTCTGCCGTGCTGTGGAGCAAAGCTTGTTCCTCTCCCGCTCAGCCGCGCAGGTATGCCGGGTTGTGGGCGGGGCGGGGCGGCCCAGGGACGAAGAGGAGCTGGGACGCGTGTGAGCGAGAGAAGTCGCGGCGGTCGTGGCGGTGGCCGCCGCGCTAGGCGTGCACCCCCCCCCCCCCGCCAACGGCCGCAGGCGGGCGCACGGGCGCGCGGAGTTTCCCCGCCCCCTCCTCGCCGCGCTCCCACCGGCCGGCGCGCGTGGCCGTGTCCGCGTCCCCCGCGTGCGCGTGCCACACCCAACGGCCGCGCGGGGCGAGAGCGAGCCGCGGCCGCCGCCCGGGCCCCAGGGCGATCGCGGGATCCCGGGGCCCCGCGCTGCCCGCCCGCCGGACTTTCCCGCTCGTCTTCCTCCCCGCGCGCGCCCGCAGATCCTTTCCTGCCCCGGCGACGGGTTCCAGCTAGGTCCGGCCGGGAGGAGGCTTTATTTAGCAGCGGGGGCGACACGAAAACCCGAGGAGGTTTTGGGTTCGGGAAGCAGAGGTGCTGTTCCCGGTTTTACAGGGAGTAAAGGGGGAGCAGCCAAGCCACGGATGATGAGTGGAAGTAATAATTGCTGTTTGTCCTGAGCCCACGCTGTGTGCCAGGCGCCGTGCAGAGCAACTTGCGTGGCTCTCCCGTGCCCCCCCAACGGTCCGGGGAGGTAGGTGCGGCGACTTTGCTTTTTGCAGTGGTTGCGGACGTCCAGAGGTGGGGAAACGTGGTCAGAGGCACGGCGACGGTAAGGGGCAGGTATCGGGTGGAACCGAGGTCGTGTGGCTGCTAGGCCCCTAGCCTGTTTCCGTCCTTGGACCGGCGCCGTGGCCCCCGAAGCACGGGTCCCCGGGGGTAGCGGCATCAGCCCGAAGAGGCCAGCTGCTGGGCGGAGTGCGGCGGCATTTGGCTTGAGCCACTTGTGGGCTTCCAGGGAGACGTGGCTTGGAAGTGGGATTGTGACAAAGGACACGAAGGGCTTTGGGCTTCCTTTTTACGAGTGTGCGCACGGAAAGCTGATGGATGTGCCGCCCTCAGAGCTTCCGGAAAAAGTAGAAAGACGAATAAGTGCAGATGAACGTGGACGGTGTTCCTTCTCCGGTTTGATGCTCGGCGCGATGGTGGGAAATTCCCGGCAGCCGCAAGTTAGGCTCTGCTCTTACACCTTGAAACCTTTTCTCCCGTCTTTCCTTTACGGGGCAGACTTGAGAAAGACCTTTGGGAGGATAGTTTAACTTCCTCGTTTTGCAGTTGGAGAAAAAGCGGGTTAGAGCGATGAGTTTCAGATCTCGCCGGCATGTGTGGGTTGAGATGTGAAGTTGGGACGGAAGGGATGGTGCCCAGTTACAATATAAATTTTAAGCTCTGGAGCTTATGCTAGGTGAATTACAGGTGATGACGTGTGTTGGAAGTCTTTCCTTTAGGGCAGTTGGGATCTTCTGTGGATGAAAGCCTCTCCACATTCAATTCAGTTCAGTTATTTCGAGTCTACTGTTGGGCTCCTCTGTATATACGAGTATGGAAGATACCTTCAAAGATAAGCATATATTTGCGATTTTTAAAAGCCAGTATATTCCCTGGCTTTGGAAAATCGTTGCAGGTCCAGGACATTACTTAATATCACAAATGTCTCTACTTGAGATAAAACTAAGAAGTTTTGGCACTAGCTCTTCTGAATTAGTTTGGCTTTCAACCTTTTTTTTTTTCTTTTTAGAGCCTTTAGGATTAGTTTTTTAAGAAGTTTTTGCAGTCAGAGGGAACACAAAATTTCCATCCTTGCAAGTAAGTTAAAAAACTACAAGGAAGCTTGATATTTGTAAGTGTTTCCATTTACCCAGTAGTTTCCATGTTTCTTAACAGAAAGTAGCAATAGATTAGGGATCAGAATATTCAGTGGCCCAAGTTCTTCAGTTGGTGTTGCCATAAATAACAGATTGGTTTAGAATATAACATTGTTTTACCTGGCCTTCATGTAGCAATTCTAGTTATGTTTATTTAGATGGATTACCTTATTGACTTAGCATTTTAGGCTTCAACTTTTAAAACATAATGACATAGGTTTAAACTGTTAACTTGGTGTCCACTAATGGTGTTACTGCTTGGAGTAAAATATGTCAGAAAGTAAAATACATCAGAATGAAATTTCCTTGTGCAATAATAGAATTTTGATTCCTTTTCAGATATTTCTTAGCATGTTCTTTCCCTCAGGTGAATGGTTATCAGTTGGGTAGGAATATGAAAACTGTGGTACTTTACATTTGGTAGCCTGGCATATCTCCTTTGCATGCATTTATTAAGAACAAATGAAGCAGACTGTAATAATGTAAGACTGGTGTGCCTTCCTTCTGCCTAGCCACGTTAGGTTATTTTTGTTATTAAATCATTTCTAAGTTTTTGTACTTCAAACAGAAAAGTTGGCAGTTCTTTGTTCTTTATTTAACTCACATTGTTTGCTGTTCTCAGCTGACAGTCTGCTAAGGGTGCATCAGAAGATTTGGTAATGTTTGTTGCTGACCTATTTCGCAGTAGTTCTTTTTCTTGTAATTTGATTTTAGTTATCTTAGTACTTTGCCTTGAAAGTAAAGGGTAGAGGTTAGTTTAAGGCGTGGTTTTTAAAAAATTATTTATTTATTTATTTATTTGACAGATCAAAAGTAGGCAGAGAGGCAGGCAGAGGGAGAGAGGGGGAATGCTCTGAGCAGAGAACCCGATTTTGGGGGGGGGTGAGGGGGATGCGCTCTATCCAAGGACCTAAGATCATGGCCTGGGCCAAAGGCAGAGGCTTAACCCACTGAGCCACACAGGCGCCCAGTTTAAGTTTTTATATGTTTGTGAATTGTATAGGGTTCAAAGGATCGATGGAGCAATGCTAAATAAAAGATGAAATTTAATATAAAACCTGAATTCCTGATGAATCTTTTTTTTTTTTTTTTGCCAGTTTAGTAAAATTACTTACCAACAGCTAGTGGGAAAAACCTTAGTTGCAACACTGTCCTTCTAGCCATGGAGTTAAATTTAGACTCAGCAATTGTAATCGCACTTGTAGTTGGTGATCATACTGGTGGTTAGTTAGGTTTATATATTTTTAAATCTCAAAAGTCACCTTATTCCTTTTTTTAAGTATTCTTGGACCTTGTATTTGGCCTTGGTGGGGAAAGCTGAATTGCAAGCCAGGTGGTAAAGAGCTAGGAATAATCTGCGCATGAAGAGGGGGCTTTATAAGACAGAAAATAATTAAAAAATTTTCACAGGTTGTGGCCTTAGTAAATGTCTTTAGAGAACTTTGATAGATTTCTTGTTTTGTCTTCTGGTAGTTAGTCATGTTGTAATATTGTTTAGCTGTTCAGCTGTATTTCAGTTGTTTTATAATAATTATTTTTAGAGATTTATTTATTTTAGAGAGTGTGAGTGAGCTGGGGGCATGGAGGGGGAGGAGAGGGGCAGAGGGAGAGAAAGAGAGTCACAAGCAGACTCCACAGTGAGTGGAGCCCCACTCAGGCTTGGTGTCTCACACCCCAAAATCAGGACCTGAGCCAAAACCCCAGAGTCAGCCACTTAACTGACTGAGCCACCCAGGTGCCCCAGGTATTTAATAATTATTAAAGTAGATGTTAAGAGATGGTTCAGAGAAAGGGGCTTCCTAGATGGGACACACTTCTACTTTGTAGGGTTGTCATCCTTGTGGCTTTTAATTTGAGTGGCTGTGTAACAGCATCATTGTGTATTTGTATAGTTCTTTAATGTTCTAAAAGTGCTCTTACATAGCTTAGTAATCTTATGTTTTTGCTTATAAAAAGAATTGAAGCTCTGAAACCCAAGTAGTTGTCTAAACTGTTTTGTAAAGCTTTTGTATGTATTAGGGGGCTGTAGACCGTTATTTGCTAGCTATTTCCTTTTTCAGAAAAGTTTGAAAGATTTAGAATCTGGAAGGTACGAGTGTGACAACTACTTAACTTTCCACGCTTTGTTAGGCTGTGTCTCAAGTATGCCCTGTGTGTGGACTCTCTGGCTTGCACGGTACTGCTTCGTCCATATATGGAGTGAGTCATGCTTATTTTATTCTTTGGGTTGCAATCCAGGGGTATCTAACTTATTTTGCTTTTTTACTAATTCTGTTGCTCACACTGTTCCCGTTTTGGCCCTTGTGTCCTTTCATGTTCCCTGTTCTTATTTTGTTGTTGTGGTTGTTTTTAGCATTTTCTTTATCAGTTAAGGCTCACTTGTATTTTGCCTTTGCCAGTCCTAGAGTCAACCGTTTCTCCAAAGATCTACCATGAAGAATTTTGAAGGGAAGTGACAGGTGGTAAATGTGAAGAGTTTAGAGAATAGATTGAACAGTAGATCCAGTGACCATGATACAAGCGAGCGCATGACAAGGGGGAAGGACAGAGAACAAGCAGACGCCCTGCTGAGCAGAGAGCCTGACTCCTGAGGTCTTGGGGGCTCTGATACCAGGACCCTGAGATTATGACCTGAGCTGAGTTAGACACTTAAGCTACTGAGCCACCCAGGCACCTCGTTAAATTTTAATATGATGTGATGCATGAAGTAAGGCTCGTTTTTTTCTGTAGCTATGGATGTGTAATTGTTCCACCATTTGTTGAACAGAATATCCTTTTTCTATTGGATTATCTGCATTTAACGTTGAAAATCCTAGTTGTCCATATATGTGTTTGTATATTTCATAACTATTCTATTATGTGGTTCTATTTGTCTGTTTTTACATCTAGACTATTTTAAAAATAATTGTACCAGTGAACAATATCTGATGTTTTTGTGTATACTAAAAACACTTCTAAACATGTTCAGAAGCATACAGTACGTATTTGGCAACTAACTTTTTAATGTAATATTTTTGAGATCTATTTCATGCTGACTTTGACTGCTATAAATAGGATGACTTTATGTCTTGGTTTCCCAGGGACAGCCCTAATTCACTCCAGTTAACCTGGAGTAATTATAAATAGTACTGCTTTTTAATCTTCTAAGTGCCCCATATGATTATGTTAGAGAAGTTTGAATG